CTTAGCACGACATTTGGTTCAAACTTCAAGATCCTATAGTAGCAGATGAAAGGAGCCTCCTCTATAGTAGGGTTGGGGAATATGGCCTCAAATCCAAATCATGGTGTGATGAGGAGTTCACCTCGATAACGTTAAATGGACAATAACTATCTGAATGCTCAAAAACAAAAGTTGTCCACTAGATGGGGCTGTGGCAGCATAAATGCTCTATCGCCAGTTTGTAAACCCCCCCCCCCCCCCCCATGTGTTAATTAGTTTTAATTTATACTTTTAAAAACTTTCAGCTGAGTACTAAATACTTTTAATTGTTGAGATTGATTGAAAAACTAAACGCACCAAATAACTAGAAGAGTAAAATAATTAAAATGTCCTGCAAACACAAAGTATTTAAGATGTAGTCTCTAATTTTCTAAATCAGGATATTACAAGAACTGCATCATGTGACTATTGTCATGTTTGAGTTGTCAGGTTCTCTATAAAGTCTGGTTGTACCGGAGGTAGACGAGGATGTGTTACCTTGACTTGGTTCTAGTCTTTCTGCACAGGTTAAAATTTGTCTTTTGTTTTCATCACATCATCCTTGCTGAATCCATAATGATTTGTAAAACATTTTTTTGGTAACAAGCTTCTCCTTCACAAAATCTAGCACCATCACAGCTCCCGCTTGTAGCCCGCTGATCATCACTCATGGCTGCTTGCCGTTAATTGCGGCTGGCTGTGGGGCGCCGCGGCCTGAGCAGCATTGGGCAGAGGGCTGCTGCAAGAGTTGGACAGCGAGTAGCGAAAGACAGAGCTACGAGCTGAGAGCAGCCCTCTGCTTTCATTTTTGAACCGTTCTCCATTTCCTCGTTTTTCCTTAGTCACGTGACTCCATGTGACTAGCTGTGACGTGTACTTTACAGTTCAGTGTCTCAGTTTCTTAAAGGTGCATGGACATAAGCAAGTTACTCACGTCTTTTGATAATTTAACATACCAGACATACCGGCATGGACAAAATGACGTTGGTTAGAGTTAGGGTAAATTTTTGGTTTACCACTTAGGCCTACTTTATTGCATTCCCAGTAGGGGTGTCCCTTTCCGAAATTGATATCGGAAGTAATTCGATATCGGCCCAAAAATAGTGTATTGGATTATATCAGACGGCATCAAAAATGTCTGATATAATCAGACCGTTAACGTTCACTTTTTCGATTGTCATTTTTTTCATACTTATTGTTATTGGCTCTTGTTCTCCGATTGAGTAATATCACTTGATGAAGCCTTTCATACATTCCACACTACAAAACAGGTTAAAGTTTGTATGATTTGTGCTGATATCGTATCAGATTGATATCGGTATCGGTCAATACTGAAGGCTGCGATATTGTTATTGGTATGTATCGGTATCGGAAGTGAAAAAGTTGTATAGGGACATCCCTGGTGTCTAGCTCAGCCTTTGAGATGAGGGGCTTAGTCATCTGGAGGGAGATGGAGCCGCTGCTCCTTCTCACTGAAATGGGTGAGCTGAGGTTGTTGCTGCACCTGACCAGAATACCTGCTGGTTGCCTCCCTCCGTTAGGTACATCCTACTGGGCAGAGAGCCTGAAGCAGACCGTCTCACGATGATGGTGAGGAATGTATGGAGCTCTGAATCTGACCAAAATTTGCTGCTACTTGCTGGCATTTTCCTCACTTTCATGTACAACTAATGAAAATACTAATACAAACAATTGAACTCCGGGGGTTTATTCTCTTGCCAAAAAGTTTGGTGGAAATGAGGCAAACCAGGAGGAGGTAGAGCGATGTAGATCTGATCCCTCAACCCAAACTTAGATAAGCAGCAGGAAATGAATGGACTGGCAACGGAATACACAAAACTCAAAAATCAACGCACAGCTAGAAACACATGAAGATATGTTGACATTGTTTACAAAGTCACTCGTGACTAGTTACACATGATGAATTGATGGTTAAATTAAGAAAAAAGTAGAATTCAAAGGATACGAGACCCCACCAGTTGTTTTACTTCACTGTTACCCTGGAGTCTGAGGGATACATTAGTTCCACTCAGTTGTGTTTGTGGTGGTAAACAAACCATGTTAAAATGGATTTCTGTTTTTTTTGTTTGTTTGTTTTGTTTGTTTGTTTTTTACTCTGGCAAACAAGGTGTTGTTGCATTTAGCCATGAGGTATCTCGTCATTCAGGTTTCCTTTATTTGTTTAGTGTTAGCAATGCATAACCGACACTTAATATTTCGCAGTAATTTAGTCTGTGTTGCTTTTTAGATATCTGTGTGAAAATTAGCAAATAAAAAGCATCTGATAGCACAGTTAATAAAAGGCAGAAATCCATCTGCATTTCTTTGATCTGATCAAACATCTCAGCTTGCTAAAACATTTTACATGTAGCCTTCCATTCTTAACAAATCACGCCAAGCCTAACTTTGTTTTTCACCTTTTTTGCTTAAATGAAACATGGGAGTACAGGGTGGATTTAAGCTTTTGTTTTCTTTCTTTTCCATTTGAAATGAAGAAAAGAAAACTTGGCTGGTATGAAATAAACTCAGATTAAAGGATGATTCTGAATTCCCTTTGCTTTCCAGTCAGCTTAGAGCAGTGGTCCACAAATGGCGGCCCGTGAGCCACGTCCGGCCCGTGAGCCCTGTCTTTGTGGCCCCCAAACCCCGCGCGCACCCCCCACCCCCGACGGCCGACCGGGAGGTGTAGGATAGAGCTGATGAAAATAATCAAATAATCAATGCATGAGATGCGGGCATGAACGATTCTGCATCATAGAAGAGTACCATAATCAATTATAGTGGAATGTAGTTTTGTTATTTTAACGGCGGCAACAGCACAGCATCCAGATCTGTCAGAGCGGTGTTCTCCACATTTACCGGGGAAACTTTGGTCTGCCTTTATGTGGTACTGCAGGGCTGAGCGCTGGAGTTATAACCTGAGACCGAACCTGAACCGAATCAGCCCGATCGGTTCTGTTGGATTTGGGCCGTAAATTATGTTCATTGAGCGGGTTGTCGCGCGGCGCACTCCACTCGCTCGATCAGCGACTGAGACAGAGAGGTAGAGATAGAGGGAGATTGTCTGCTCACACAAGACAGAGGATCGGAGGACGCTCCTCCAAACACGCGTTATTATTTTCATAATTTCATTATTGTTTCTCCTGGAAGCGCTCAGTCATACCGAGTGCTGTGATGTCGGGAGGTCCGGTCTTGGACAGGGAGCGGGGTCAGTGACGGCGGCTGCAGCGTGATCATCTGTCTCTTTTTATTTAGGGACACGGAGAAGTTAAAAGGAGAGAGAAATAGAAGATGGAAGTTCTTGTTCCACTTTATTATTTTGTTTCATGATGATAAACTGACGTTAATTTCAGCTTAAAGAGAAGCTGGGAGGAAGCTTTGGTTCATTTTAGGTTACAAGACAGCATGGACATGTGGGTTACATGGTGAGGGTCACACACAACAGGTTAGTGCAGTCACACAGCCGAGCTGGAGGGGGACAGGTGTTGTCCTGCTTTATATTGCAAGCTTGTGTGTTATGTGCATTACAGCCAGCAATCCATACAGCAGCAGCCCCCCCCCCCCCCCCCCCCCCCCCCCCCCCACACACACACACACACACACACACACCCATTACATCCCCCCTCCGGCCCTCTTGCTTCTGGGTCTTTTTTGTGTGTGTCCCTTGGACCATTTTAATTGAGGACCCCTGGCTTAGAGGTTCCTCAGACCACCTGCCCGACTTTTTATAAATCAACAACTCTATCTGTGGGTGTTTAGAAATGTTCCTCTAACACGGAGAGTTTGTCATATCGCCAGAAACATACATTACGGAAATGTGTAATCAAGTGATTCAAGTTGCTTTATTGACTGCTTTGAAAGTGTATAATTGAAAAATCACGTTTTCCAATATGTGCCGTTAACGAGAACAGGTCGCAGGAGCTAATCTCGGTGAGTAAATGAAGCCTAAGGGGGGCAGCTTAATGGGGTAATGTAGTTAATAACATCTGAAGGGTGATGAATGGCCAGTCCTCTTTCTTGCTGAGTTCTTAGACAACAAATTAGTTCCATTAAAGGCCGCAGTTAAAGGCACTCTGAAGGAAGCTGATTAACTTAAATTATTTGGATTGAGTCATTCTCGACCTGGTTTAGGCCTGTGGTTTGCACAAATGGACTTACCCTTGATTATACGCTTATTTACCTATTTATTTTGAATTTGCTGTCATCACAGTCAATTGAAGCTTGTGGTGTTTTGTGAAATTCTTTTGAAAGAAGGAAAAAGGGGCAACCCATTAATTAAATCAGCATCTAGGACCTTTTTTTTTCCTCCTCCGTATTGCCAATTAACTCGGCTCAGCGACATGAAAGGATTTTTATCAATTTACGCAAGCCTGACAGCACGATGACGGACAGTACCAATTGCTACTTTTAGAAGCATTTGTTGATTTAGATCAGTGCTAGCATAATACGTCTCCTGTGAAATGAAAAAAAGGAATAATATTGTTCCCTTTATTATTTTATTGTTGAACGGCAGAGCCACGACAGGTATAGGATTCGTTTTTAATGCGTTCCAGATTATACCCAAACATCCTAAGCTTTGTTGTGAAATCTGAAGAGGTGTTGTGGGTGATTTACGGTAATTGGGAGCCATGATTAGAGGCATACCATTCTGTTAGATCTTTACACAAGGGAGGAAAGAAGAAAAAAAGCAAGAGTAAGCCACCCTCCCCATTTTTTAACCCGCTGCTTGTTGCCGTATCTGAGGATGGCCGCCCTAAGGAACGGGGTGCTGTATTTCTCCGGCAACCTCCAGGAGTGGCAGCACACAAAGAGACTGACACAGATTATGAAAGATTTATAAGAGTGATAAATACACCCTCTTTTCTGCCCCTCAAAACGGCTTTTCATCAGCTTCTCAGCAGCACGTCCAAGTGATTGATGACAGGACGGGTCGTTCTCCTTGTCCACTCCTCAAGCTGTTTATGCTCTGTTTCCCATCCCAGATGCAGATCTACCTTTACAACTCCGATGACTTTGACAGCCTCAGCGTTGCCATCAAGGAAAGACGCATCATCGCCGCCATGGCCGTCTTCTTTGAGGTAAAGTATAAAGACTAGAGGCCAAGACTCACCCAAGGATACACTTTAGCCTTTAGTCCAAACATTTAAAATGACACATTCATTATTTCCACCAGGGGGAAAAAAACTAGAATGAACTGGTTGAAAACTCATGTTTTTGGGCCATGAGCATAAATTACTGACATTTCAATCATCTGTACTAACTTTGTGCTAGTTAGCAAATGTCAGCACGCAGACTTGTTAAATAGGACAGTGAGCATAACATGCACATGATCTGAACATGCTAAACGTAGCATGCTGGCATTCAGCTACAGCAGCGGTTCCGTGCAATATGTGAAAACATCATTATCCAGAGAGCTATGTCTTCATACCCACAATTCACCTGTCTCTGTGGAGTTACCTTTCTCCTGAGGAAAACATCTCATCTCAGTAACAGCTTTATATGTAGCTGCCTGCAGCCCAGATGGATATTTCATAGTTCATTTGCGTATAAAATAGAGCTTTTTGTCTGTACCAAATGGTTTAAAACACCGGAAAACGATGAAAAAAGTGGAGTAAGTTAAAGAGGATGAGCAACTGGGATGTTTGGGGATTTGGGGATGGGCAGTTAGAAACTGAGATTTTAAAACCAGCTCAGTTTTGAAAATTTTATTTGACATTTATTTCAAGAGGAGTCACCCAATGAAGTAAACCTGTACAATTAATGAAAGTCATAATAATGATAATCAAAAATAATCAACAAAAACATGTACAAACCACCACACACACACACACACGCGCAGTCACACAAACCAGCTCACATAGTTTACCCGACTCCCCATAAATCTCCAGTACCACAATACAGCAAAGCAGAAAGAAAGCACAGCTGCATACAGCTGCATACCACAGACACAAACAAAATCAAACCATTTCAGCTCTAAAATGTCATTACAGTAAAACTCTAGTTTTGATTTTGAAAAACAGAGATTGTTGGTTTCTATTTTGCTTCTTCCTGCTAGAAATCCAAAATTGTCCCCTGAAGATCTTCTCACATAAGCACCTAATAGGAAAGATTGGCTCTCATTTCTAAGTGTAAGGGCTCCTCTGAGGTTTACGAAGCGTAAGCAGCTGCACTGACAACTTCAGAGTCTTTTTCTGTGAATTCCTCTACAATTAATGACGGGTGATCAATGCACGCTAAGATTTAGCTTAATCGTATACCGGTAAGGGTCAGATCTCTAGCAGTGAGAGGCTGGAATGGGGACACAGGTGTTTTGTAATGTAGGTCTTCTCTCAGACAGTGATGAACCGTGTGTGTGTGAGGACCTAAATGCCTCCGCTGGGTCCTGACAGCCCTATTGCTTACTGCAATTAGCACCACCATACACAATCCGCTGAATAGCAGTTTACAGTGCAAGGGGTTTTAAACAGGCACACACACATTGGCTCAGATTTACCATTTCTAATCAATGAGGAGAGTTCTTGCTGTGTTCCCCAAAGGCCTATTAAAGGCCTCTAAGGTGTGCATATTATCCACATTCAGCATTCAGTTCCACGCAATTATTCTCCTCTGACTGACCTGAATTAATGTTCTGCATGGGAGGATTGGTCCCCACATCCCAGCACTGTTTTGTCCAGTCTTGTCTCTTAAGTAGGACATTGGAAATATTAGAGAACTGTTGGATAGCACGATATTGCTAATCATCGCTAACACTTAAGAGCAGGTAAGTCAGCGAATGATCAGTAGTGTTTCATGACCTAGGAAGGATTCACTGGAATTTTCCTTTAAGCCGGGCGTACACTGTGCGACTTTTTCACTTTTTTGAGCCGATTTTCCAGTCGTGCGAGAATCCACGACATCGGGGCGAGTTTTGCGCCGAGCAGTCGTGTAGTGTACAGGGGGTTACGAGAGGCGATTAACACCACGTGACCAGCTGCCGATCAGCAGTCGTGAGGTCGCACGGACTTCTGGAATGTTTAATATTTTGCTCGTCCCTCGTGAGGGTATCGCACTGTTGAAGCTGCGCTGCGAACAGCTGCGACCCAAAAAGTATCAGAACCGCTCACGGCGCATGCGCAATCCTGCATCAACGCTGCTCGCTCGCTCTTTCCCTAATAACACACGCTGTTCGTTTTTGTTTCTACACGTTTTTTTTTCTCACAAAGATTGTCAAGAAAGCGTGTTTGTCGTGTTCATGTCAAATTAAACTGATCACAAAACACAGATTTACTTTCTTTATTTCGTTTTCCTCATCCAACCCCCATAAATGCTGTGTGTCCTCCTGCAGCTCTCCCGAAGGACAACAGGCAAAACAAGACAACAAAGGCTGACGTGTTGAGTAAAAACTGCTATTTTTAGTGTATTGTTAAGGTCCGACGTGTTGCTACCAGACGTACAGTGTGAGCAGTCAGGTCGCATGCGAGAACTGGGTCGTGCAGTGTGAGCGCCTGGCTCGTGAGATCTGCCCTGTGAGGAAGTCGTACAATTTGAGCTGAAGCTGAGTGCTACGAGTGAAAAAGTCGCACAGTGTACGCCCGGCTTTAGAGTGATTAGACATCTCAAAAAGTCATCAGAAAATTCTGAACGTGTGAAAACCACAGAGATGTGTGGAGAATTGTTGGAAAAGTTCTGAAATCTGTCATTTTTAAAAAAATCTAACATTTAGTGGCTTCGTCCATCTGTCAAAGCCTTTACCTCGCCGTCGCCTTTTGCTGTAAATGTTTGTCACGCTTCATTCAGACGCCTGTGAAAATAACAGAGCACTGCTGTGCATACACAATATCTGTTATTCATGCAAGATTGAATAGTGTTTTAACTGTGGTGACTTATATAGTAACTCTGTCAGCTTCTGTATGCCATGTCACACAGTTTACACTTAGTGGTCACTTTATTAGGTACACCTAGCTAGTTCCAGTTTGGACCCTCTTTTGTCTTCAGAACTGTCTTAATTATTCATTCCACAGATTAAGCACAGAGTTTATTTCATTAGGACATAAGAGCATCACTCAGATGCATCTGTGAAGGAAATCTCCCTTTCCCCTACATCCTAAAGGTTTTGGACTGGATTGAGATCTGGTAACTGTGGAGGTCGATGGAGTTCAGCAAACTCATTGTCATGTTCAAGAAACCAGTTTGAGGTGATCTGAGCTTTGTGGCGTGGTGTGTTATTCTACTTGAAGTAAACATCAATGGGCCCAATGTGACCATATAAGAGTAGATATGGTTGGCAATAATATTCATGTACAGTTGTGGTCAGAAGTTTACATACACTTGTAAAAAATATAATATAATGGCTCTACTGAGTGTCCCGTTATTTCTAAAACTCAGATTTTTCTCTGATAGAGTGATTGGAACAGATACTTCTTTGCCACAAAAAACATTCATGAAGTTTGGTTCTTTAATGTCTTTATTATGGGTTAACAGAGAAAAGTGATCACATTTGCTGGGTCACAAATATACATACAGCAACATGAACTAGCAATTTAGGTGACTTAGAAACGTGTCAGTGAACTGAGCTTCATAGCATGGCCTCTTAACTTCTTGTGAGTGATTATGAGTGACTACAGCTGGTGACTTCTCTTAGGCCAGGTAAATAGGGCTCATTGGATACAAACGCCCACAAACGCTACACTGGGAAAGTCAAAGGAGCTCAGCATGGATCTGAAAAAGCAAATTATTGACTTGAACAAGTCAGGAAAGTCACTTGGGGCCATTTCAAAGCAGCTGCAGGTCCCAAGAGCAACAGTGCAAACTATTGTTTGTAAGTTTAAGGTGCATGGCACTGTTTCATCACTGCCAAGATCAGGAAGAAAATGCAAGCTATCACCTGCTGCTGAGAGAAAATTGGTCAGGAGGGTAAAGAGTGAACCAAGAATCACCAAAAAGCAGATCTGCCAAGAATTAGAAGCTGCTGGAACACAGGTGTCATTGTCCACAGTCAAACGTGTTTTGCATCTCCATGGACTGAGAGGCTGCCGTGCAAGAAGGAAGCCCTTGCTCCAAAAGCGGCACCTTAAGGCTCGACTGAAGTTTGCTGCTGATCACATGGACAAAGATGAGACCTTCTGGAGGAAAGTTCTGTGGTCAGACGAAACAAAAATCGAGCTTTTTGGCCACAATGCCCAGCAATATGTTTGGAGGAGAAAAGGTGAGGCCTTTAACCCCAAGAACACCATGCCTACAGTCAAGCATGGTGGTGGGATTATTATGCTGTGGGGCTGTTTTGCTGCCAATGGAACTGGTGCTTTACAGAGAGTAAATGGGATAATGAAGAAGGAGGATTACCTTCACATTCTTCAACATAACCTAAAATCATCAGTACGAAGGTTGGGTCTTGGGCGCAGTTGGGTGTTCCAACAGGACAATGACCCCAAACACACATCAAAAGTGGTAAAGGAATGGCTAAATCAGGCTAGAATAAGGGTTTTAGAATGGCCTTCCTAAAGTCCTGACTTAAACCCCATTGAAAACATGTGGACATTGCTGAAGAAACAAGTCCATGTCAGAAAGCCATCAAATTTAACTGAACTTCACCAATTCTGTCAAGAGGAGTGGTCAAAGATTCAACCAGAAGCTTGCCAGAAGCTTGTGAATGGCTACCAAAAGCGCCTAATTGAAGTGAAAATGGCTAAGGGACATGTAACCAAATATTAGCACTGCTGTATGTATATTTGTGACCCAGCAAATGTGATCACTTTTCTCTGTTAACCCATAATAAAGACATTAAAGAACCGAACTTCATGAATGTTTTTTGTGACAAAGAAGTATCTGTTCCAATCACTCTATCAGAGAAAAATCAGAGTTTTAGAAATAACGGGACACTCAGTAGAGCCATTATATTATATTTTTTACAAGTGTATGTAAACTTCTGACCACAACTGTACGCTGCGGTGTTTAAACCAGGCTCAGGTGGTACTAAAGGTGGTTTTCCAGGAATGCTACTCAGCCTAAAACAGCGCTATACAGCGTGGTTTGAATCAGCCCATCTGAGTGTAGTTTTGTTCCCAACGAGTGCATCCCTCATAGGCTGTGTGTGTGTGTG